CCCCCAGTAAAGAATCTCAGTGTGAATGCTGTCAGGCCCAGAGAACAGAAACAAATAACCGCCGACATCCGGAAGGCTGGAGGTCCACTCGGGGGTCCTTGGGAATCAGGTCTATACCAGCCCCCACCCCCGGGAAGATGGAAGAGTCATCAGCTTTATCAAGTGCCACCAGCTTCCCCAGCGCCTCTCATGCCATCCAACTGAAACAGCGCTGAGGCATCCGCATGGCTGGGAACTAGGAGGTAAACGTCTCTGTCGATGCCACAGAGGTGCCTGGGCTCCGCAGCTGCCCCCAGGGATACATTAGCAATGTGGGAACAGTGCTCAGCACTCCTTCCCTTACCACGGAGAGGAAGCCCTGTGACTCAGAGGGACCCATATCTTTCCGGAAGCCACCAGAGTTCATCTGCACGCCTCCCTCTGCTCAGTGTCCTGGGCTTTTGCTCTGGTTTCATTTTCACAAACCCTTTCTCCACAGCATCAGCATTGAGGGGAGGGAGACACATGCTCCGGAAACACGAGCAATGGCTCCTATTCCTGCCCAGGAGGGTCCAGGGCAATAACCCTCAGAAACACATCACAATCAAGCCTGGTCAGCTAATCACACTGACACCTGGCTGAAGGCTTCAATTAACAGTGGTCTCGGCCCATCTCGGCTGCTCCAGAATCCAGACTCCTCTTCTCTGAGGCCCCCAGAGATATGGTCAGGCTATCCTAGGCCCACCCCATGGGCTCGGATCCAAAGATCATTCCTCTGTTCAATCTTTCCTATCAGAGAACCTACAGAGTTTATTGAAAATGCAGATTCCTGACTCATCTGGACCTACCCAATCTACTCAATCTGGATCTCCTGTACCCTGGAGCCAAAGAACCAACAAGCACAGTTCTCCATAGGTCAGGCGCCAAAGGAGGCCATGATTCCCAAAGGGACCCAGACAGCTCTAGACTCATGGGTCTTTTCTATACTCAGGATAGATACTTTAGGGAAAGTGACCCACATAGTCCCAGCCCAGCCTTTGCACTGAACCAGTCATGGTTCTAAAATACTGGGGAAATAAATATAAGAATTTAGGCCCAAAGATAAATAAATAAAATAAATCCCCAAAGATATCTGATCTGGGACTAGACCTGGCTCCATGAGGTCAAAGTCAGACTTGGAAAGGGCTTGGGAGAACGGAGGATCTGAAGTTAGCGCTGGACACCGTCTCCTCTGAGGAGGGCGCCACGATGCCAAGGTCAGTCCTAATGATCTCATGCGCACGCGTCAGCTGTAAGAAACAGTCTCAGATGCAAACGTGCAGGGAATGGAGAGGTCTGGGAGTACTGTCCACAGGCTAAGCTTCAAGGTCAACTCTCAAAAGTGGCTGGAAGGAGACAGCAGAGGTGCCTCAAGACTTCATCACTTGCCTGCCAGCCACCCAACAGAATGTTCAGATCACAGTGAGCTGACAAACCCTGTAACAGCGGCAGCATGCTCCCCGCTTCTGTCTGACCCCATGCTATTCCACGGACCCTTCTCCTCACCTTTCCAATGCCTTCATCCTGGGGGGCGCCTCCTACCACGTCAGTGGTGGACGGATGAGAGAAGTGGCCAGCGGTAACTGCATAGCCTGTAAGGAACGGGCAGACACCGAGGACAGGGTTGAGAAAGAACGGCAGGGAAGAAAAGGCTCTCTCAGAGGAAAGAGTTCCTCAAGGTTCCCTCCTCTAGACAGTTACTATCCAGCTAGTCTTAGACCAAGTGGCAGCTAGAAGAACTCATCTCACACCAAGACATGCTCACAAGGACATCAGGGCAAGAAAGAGTGGTCTCTGAGTGTCTTCTCTGGATCAGGTACTAGGCTCAATACTCCATATCTGGTTCTTTTTCTTTCTGATACATTTTGACTTTTGACACATTTTGAACTTTCATACAGTATACACATCTGAAGTGTAGAACCTCATGAATGTGTACACATGTACCTAACCATGTGATCACCACCCAGAGTGGACAGAACCATAGAACCATAACCCAGGAGGATCCCTCATGCCTTTCCCCAGTCAATACCCCCTACAGATGGCCACTATTCAGATTTCTATCACTATATATTATATTTGCCTGATCTAGAACTTCATTCAATCAACATAACTCTGACATCCACCCATGTTGAGTGTAGTCGTTTCTTTTTATCGTTAATTAATGTTTCGTTGCATCAATATATCATAGTATCTTTTTTCCTTCCTATTGCTAGGCATTTGGGTTGTTTCCAGTTTGAAAATTTATGACATCTTGTACGTGTCATCAACTCTTTTAATCTAACAACTCTTGGAGGAAGATATGATTCTGTCTTCCATTTTAGAGATGTGGAAACTGGGACTAAAATGTGATTAAACAACATTCCCAAAGTCACACAGCAAGATTCAAATCCAACCTGTGTGCCTCCCAAGCCCCTGCTGCTAACCATTACGCAATACTCCCTCCTAAGAGAAGACAGAAAGAAGCTAATGGTGATGGATGGATGGATGGATGGATGGATGGATGGATGGATGGATGGATGGATGGATGGGTGGGCGGATGGATGGATGGGTGGACAGGTGGATGGATGGGCAGATGGATGGATGGATGGGTGGACAGATGGATGGATGGGCAGATGGATGGATGGGTGGACAGATGGATGGATGGGCAGATGGATGGATGGGTGGACAGATGGATGGATGGGCGGATAGATGGATGGGTGGACAGACAGGTGGACGGGCAGACAGATGGATGGGCGGATGGATGGATGGATGGATGGATGGATGGATGGATGGATGGATGGATGGATGGATGGATGGATGAGCAGGTGGATGGGTGGGCAAAGAATTTGGATACAAAAGGAATCTAGAAAGAAAGGAAAAGTCTGANGATGTGTGGGCAAAGAATTTGGATACAAAAGGAATCTAGAAAGAAAGGAAAAGTCTGAACTTCGTCTAAATGTTTCCTTTACCTTCTGAAAGCCTGTCCCCTCTGGCCAGCAGCAACACTGTACAGGCTGCCACATATTCCCCAAACCTTGTCATCAACTTCAAACCCTAAGCTCTTTGGGTTTTGTGATGACACCATATTGAGATCAATTCATATTCAACATGTGGCTGATTTCTCAGACTGGAGGCTCACGTTACCCAAAAGCATTATGAGTGATATGAAAGCCTCCAGTGAGCCCTGCAAAGCCTGCAGCACATAAGGGCCTCTCTTCTGTATTTAGGAAGAAGCCACCAGCCCTAAGCCTAGACCCTGAGCCACCACCCAAACCAGGCTCTCTTCTGCCTTCTTTTCATTTTATGACCTAATAAACACGTGTTGAGTCCCTATGATGCACTAGGAACAATACTGAGTCCTGGAAATGTGAGACAAATGCCCCACCGCCAAGGTGCTCCCAGCCCAGGGACGATCGGTGGTGTCTCCCAGCACACACAGGGAAGGCAGATCAGAGTTTAGACCCTGAGCTCGGAAACCACAGGCTTACACCCCCACTCTATCTAAGAGCCATGTGACCTTAGCGAATTCCATAACTTCTCTGTACCTCAGTTTCTTTACCTGTAAAATGTGGATGGCAATAACAGCTATCCCAAGAGGTTGTCTCAGGAATGGCAAGACATAATATGCAGAGCCTGCCATACAGTAAGTGCTCAATAAGTGACAGTACTGAGGAGCTGGGAGCACAGAGCATGAAACACCCCCAAAGACTCCAAGTAAAGGTATTATGGTCCATTCATTGGGCAAAATTTGAGAGTTAGAAGGGAAAAGGCAAGTCGACAGCCCCCTTCAGCCATCTCACAAGTGAATCTCCGTGAAAAGTGGGCGGGGACTCCCCCAGATTTAAGTAACGTGTGTGAAAGGACGTTGTTTTCTCATTATTGGGCCTGCCTAAATTTAGCTTCCCTTTCAGTCCAGAATTATAGGATTTAGGGTACGAATTAAAGAAAAGCCATGTAAAATTTTCATGTACACAAGCAAAGACAGCCTCCCCGTTCTTAACAGGCATGGTCTTGCCCCGGCAACGTTCTCGCTTAAATTGTGTCTCTCTTCTTTCTAGAAGATTAAAAAGGTTGAGAAAATAGGAGAACTTTTCCTGAGCCTTTAATTAAACTCCAGCATTAGGCTGCCATCCATCGTGATAATTTCTGGGTCTTATTATTTCTATTTGCAACCACTTCTGTGACCAGGAAACGGAGACCTCACCCACAGGAACGCCATGGAGAACCAGGATTCCGTTGCACTCACTCGGTATCTGATCATCCGAACCTGACTAACTGCTAAAATAAGAAAATAAAACGTTTGCCTCCCTGGAGGTTTGACGGTCCGCTTTTTAATTAAATCACCGTTTTAGTTCCCTGCTTTGTTCTCCTGTGTGGGGCTTGATGTGAAGGTGCTCTAGCTAAAACTGTAACTAATTAGCCCTGGCCAGTTTGGCTCAGTGGTTAGAATGCTGGCCCGAGGACTGAAGGGTGTGGGTTCAATTCCAGCCAAGGGCACGGACCTTGGTTGCAGGTTCAATCCCTGGCCCTGGGTGGGGGTGCATGGGGGAGGCAACCAATCGATGTCTCTCTCCCATCAATGTTTCTCTCTCTCTCCCTTCCACTCTCTCTGAAAAGCAATGGAAAAAATACCTTCAGATAAGGATTTTAAAAACAAACAAACTGTAACTAATTAGAATAGATGTAAAAGCCAACAAATTCTTTTTTCCACCCATAAAGCAGTAATTCGTGAACTTCGTGGCAATCGCTCCAGTTTCCCTTCTCGCCTGTCGCCTCCCTGAGCTACTCACCCAGGTAAGTGTACCGCCTGTTCATGATTACTTCGTCGTTCAGCTTGAAGTAGGTGTTGTCTGTAAGGTTCAGCACTTTGACCGTCCCAGCCCAATAAAATGACCCTGGGGCACCCATCACCACCAGCTCCTGCCGAAGAGAAAACCAACGGAAATCAGAAAAGCAGCTGAAGAGAGTAGGCGGTGAGACTAGAACCACAGTCACAACAAGGAGCTCACAAGTAAGTTAAAGACACCTCACCAGAGACACTCTTCAGCTGAACGATACAAAAACTATTTCACCGGATTCCCTGGCACTGTGGAGTCTATTGCCCGGATGGGGTTATCAGGAATGAAGTCCAAGATAACTGAGCAAGTTGACAAGGTGAGGGGTTCCTGTCCTACCCACAGATGAGGCTTCACATATGCACTCACTTTCCCAGCAGGATCAAACAGGGACATGGCAAAGATGGGCCACTGTCCTAAATCGCAGAATTCCAGGGAACGATGCTCAGGAAAAGATCCCTCCCCCTTATCCGGAGGCGCAGGGAACAAATGTCGGAAAAGGCCAAAAGCATCTCAAGAGAAAGTCACAGAGAGCAAGAGTGTGGGGGTGGGAGAGCAGTGGTGGCATCCGAGCGACACCTTGACCACCGCATGTCCTGTGGTCAACTGGGAAAGTACCTGAGCAAAGAGCAGGGTGTGAGCGCAGATGATAGAGAAGCCACCAGATTCCCGCCTGGATGGTTTGCTCTTGATAATTCGGGACAGTGTTGACCGCGAACCTTCACTTTAAGGTTCTGGGTTCCTATCCACCTCGAAGGAAGCTGCTGATGATAAGCTGGATACGCTCAGAGGTATCTCACTGTTTCTAAAAATATACCACTTTCTGCTCAGGGCTCTTCACGGGGAAAACACGGGCCGTGCACTCACGTGTTCATTCATTCCCGTTACACTCGTGTGTTCTGTGAAAGGGACTTTGCTAGCTCCAGAAGGGGTCTGAGAAAGACAAATGATCAGCTCATCGGAGGAGACTTTCCTTGGCCTTGACCTCCAAAAGGAATCTGTCTTCAGAGTCCAAGTGCAAAGGGCACCAAAGAACACAACGAACATCCTCAGAGCCAGCTGTGTACACGGGTAGAGCTCTCTCCACCTGCAGCTCCTCTGAGCCAAAGCTCTGAGCGTCACTGCAGGCGGCAAGGCCTTCGGAACACCTGGTGGCAGACACGCTGTTTTCGGATGACTTAGATCAATCCAGCATAAGCATGTCCGACACATCCCTGCCTGTCCTCTCCCAAACATTACAGGGGGAGTAAGACAAGGTCATCCCGCTCCTCCAAAACCTTTAAAACTGGCCGCTCCTTTTCCCTCCTCTGCTCATGCCCCATCTCCCTTCAATTCCAACTGGATAAACTGAGGGGTTAGGGGAAGGGGTCAAGGGAGCAGCACCTGTCCCTATAAGTTCCTCATATTTGGCATTTTCCATTCAGTGCAGGTGATGCCTGTACCTTTTGGCATTGCCACAGTGCAGGAAATGTTACCGATGCTCAGTTCCCCACCACCCAGGACCAGCCAATGCAAATGCAGCACGCAGAAACGCAAGCTTCTCCAGGAGCCCATGGCCACCACTGCCTAAAGCCCCTTGTGGGATCCCATCAATAGACAGTGTGGGCCTTGGTCAGCAGAACCCCCCAAGGTGCAGGGGTATCTGGGTGCACTGAGAGAGGCCTCAGGCTTTCCTTTGCCAACTGCGAGATGGGAGGAGCTGGAGGGTAGAAGAATGCTTGGGATCGACAACAGAAGCCTGTGCCCAACAGCCTTCCACCTAGATGTCTCCCAGCTTCCACCCTGGGCTCCGATGCTGGAGGGGTTGGTCTGCGTCTTTTCTTGCTGCTTAGAGGTATCTACCACCTCTATTACCCTAGGCTACAAAAACATATGGAGCTCCCAGGAAACACCCCCTTATCCTCAATGACAGGCGAAAACCCACGTGGTGTCCATAACTCAAATAGCTTTGATAACCCCAGGGTCACCAACCTCCAGGTCAAGCGTGCACTTTGGGGTAGAGCACATCAGGGCCACATGGCCATGCCTGGAAGGCCACAGAAGCATGTCCAGCTTGAGCCCAGCTGCCTGCCCTGTGCAGGGACAGCCCGAATGGCGAGGTCAGCAGGGGGGCAGGGGAGGGGAACCGCACTGTCTGACCCCTGCAACCACATTTCCTGCTCAGCCTCCAACAGCTGAAGTTCCAGAAACAAGGGATGCAGTGAGTTCAAAGACCTCCTGTTCATAGAGGCCAAAAGTCTGGGAACTGAAGCAGAGGCCAAAGCCCAGAGTGTCCTGGAGACAGTGTGACTGGGTCAGAGGACTGAGCCTTCCGGTCACTGCCCACCCTCACTCCCAACCCCACACCCCATGCATGAGGCCCCACTGCCATTCCCTCCAAGCGCAGCCAGCACATGCTGAGGCACCAGGCGTCGTTCCCTCGGGCTCTGGACCCCAGAGCCTGGAGTCTGAACAGGTCCTCTGGCTCCTCTGCTCACCCTGAGCTTGCACGGCCAGCTGGGTTCCCCTCCACACCCCGGCCCTGGCCAGCTCCCCCTACGGAGTCCTCCTCCGGCCCAGCCCCAATGCCCTCATGCTCTTCCCTATCTGGCTGATGAGACCACCATGATACCCCCGCCCCTGGGACTCTTCCCCTCCCTCAGTTCTCCATCAACATCTCTGAGGAGTTCCCATTTCTGCAATGAGTCTACTTTTTCTCCCCACCCCCCACCTAAAGGAGGAGGCATTCTCCCCGCTGCCCCCTCTGTCCCCATGCTAAGCACACTCAGCCACTTCGGACAGTTACTAGCATTGGCCAAATCTAAGTTTCTAACTCAGGCTGGGATCCAGTCCCTATGCCCAAATACCTTCTAAAAAGGTATTTGAGTCTCATCACCTCACTCAGCACGTGTCTAACGCAGACCCATCAGTTTACCTGTCCCAGTGAGTCCCCCCTGGGCGGCCCCTTTCCCCCGGCACCACCGTACTCCAGAGCCCTGGCTCAGAACCACCGTCCGCTCCCCACAGCCCTCTGCCCGCCCAGCCACTGGTACTGCCTTCATTTTCTCCAACTCTCGCAGCCTTTGCATTCCTGAAGCGTCGCCCTAACCTGCACTGCTGCTTTGGGGCTGGACCCCACCACAGCCCCCTACCTGGCCTCCCTCCAGGCCCTCCCGCCTCCTACCTCCTGGGCACACAGCCTCTCTCACAACACCGCCAGCCAACGTGTCGTCACCCGCTCCCAAACTTACAGGGGGTCCCTGTCGCCTACTGGGGTGAGAGCCATACTGCCCTTGACCTCACTGGAGGAGCGACGGACACAGAGGTTACACGATCTGACTGAGATGGAGGGAGAGAGCAGCCTTGGCACAGGGCAGGGAGGTATTTCCAATCAGTGCGCACAGGAAACACTGTTCAGCACAAAGTATCAGAAACAATCGACTCTATGTTTAGGAAACAACGGAGTTCATTTCTACCACGTAACGTCTGCAAAAACAAATCTAAGATGCATTAAAGATATAGAAGTGTTTTTTTTAAACTACAGAAGGGCTAGGAGAAAATACAGGTGGCAATGTTACATTCCTGGGACAGGGATGACACGCACCTCGGTGAAGCAGCCTGCGATCCCGGCCTGGCAGGAGCCGTGTTCCTCTCCATACTTCTTCTTGTACTCTGGGGGGGGAGAACAAACCACAGCCTGGTCAGTGTGGGCCCCCGTGGGCTGGTGGTGTGGGGCGGCCACGCGGGCCGCTTCCCCGAGTGCCCTGCGGCCTGGGCCCTGGCGACGCTGTCCAGCCTGGGGCACGGCGGGGAAGTCCCAGGAATCCGCCAGACCTCAAAAATCCGGACACCGGTGCCATCAGGTAGCGAGGCTGCCAAGTGCCCCAGAGGACTTCCTCCCTCTACACATGTGAGAAAGAGGAGCAGCGACCGTGGTAATGAAGGGGGAGGCGGGTGACAATTATTTCATTTGCTTTAGGAAGGACACAGAGCCCCAGCAGGAAGGAGGAGCTGAAAGCATGGCCCAGAAACTGGATGATGTCGCCCTCCCAGTGTGGAGTCCCTTGGAAGAAGACCAAGCCTCCGAAAGGACACTCCGTACAGCTGGAGGGATATGCTTTCCGCCACCCGCCCGGGGACCGGCCGTGAGAGCCCAGCTGCAGCAAGAGGGACTCGCACACCTGCCCCAGCGCACGGCCACGCCATCACCGATGGCGTCTGGTGACACTATACACAGCCACCTCCGTCTTCCTTGCTCCACAAAAGGAAATGGGGAGGATTTCTCCAGGTCTAAAGAAACCAAAGGGTGAGCTCATTCCTCCTCCACTCCCTCGGTCCCTAACACTTCACCCAGGGTTTTATTTTTAAGTTGGCAAGCAGAAGTGTTCAGCACGTTCCCGGCGCTGTGTCCACATCACTGCGTGCATCCCATATCCCCGGGAGCCCGTATCACCATTTACCTGTTAACAGGCAAAACTCCTGAGGCTCAGAGAGGTTAAGTGAACTGTCCAAGGTCACACAGCTAGTAAACGGCAAAACCAAAATTCTACCCCAAGCTTGGCAGACTCAAAAACCCCCATTCTTTCACCTGTGGGGCCTCTCCAAGGTTTAGCAGAGTGAGTGAATGCACAATAGTCAGGAAGCCACCAGCCATCTGACATCAGTACATGCGTAAAAGGCATGGAGATGGAGAGGTGGTCAGCTCAGGTGACTCCGATTAATTACACTGTGGCACTGACACTGCTGGGCACCGGCTCACGGCTGCCCCTGGGCACCTTTAGGCTGGGGCTACCCTGTAAAATAACCCAGAGACACACACCCCCATCACCCCCAGGGCTCTTGACAAATCTCTGGTACTGTTAAAAGCAATATACTTACTTCGGAAACTTTTATACTTAAGTACACAATATCCTTAAATCTGGAACAAAATAAATAATACAAAGGAACAAAGATTGCAACACAGTGCCACTTCCTGCAGCTCTGAGTGTCTGCCGGAGAAGGGGGAAAGGGCCCTGGGGATACGTCCAGAGTAATTCAGTTTCTAACAACACTCACCACAGAGCCTGGTAACGTTTTCCAGTAAGTGGCCATTAACCGGCTGCTAAATTACATCGGAATGTCAAGTGAGTTCGTAGTCTTCCCTGCAGGGGGCTGAAGGGGCTCTCCGCAGGTCCTGCGATTACAAGGCACACTGCACAGGCCTGCCCCACACAGCCCGTGGCGAGGGCAGCTTGCCTGTTCTCTGCACGATCTCGCACCAGGGCTGGGAGTGGGGCTTGTGCAAAGTCACAGATAGATCATGCATCAAATTGTAGGATGGCAAGAAACCATAAAAATTAATAATCATCCCTATACCATAAGGCGAAATGGTAACGGAGATCAGAATGTGCAAACCTGAACAGTTACATTAAATCTGGAAGGTCTGGAGAGGGCATATCCATTCACCCACTGACCGTAGGGGCTAACACCCAACTGTAACTCCCGAGCAAATAAAACAGGAAGGAAATGCAGACACCCCCAAGCTGANAGCCACTTCGGACAGTTACTAGCACTGGCCAAATCTAAGTTTCTAACTCAGGCTGGGATCCAGTCCCTATGCCCAAATACCTTCTAAAAAGGTATTTGAGTCTCATCACCTCACTCAGCACGTGTCTAACGCAGACCCATCAGTTTACCTGTCCCAGTGAGTCCCCCCTGGGCGGCCCCTTTCCCCCGGCACCACCGTACTCCAGAGCCCTGGCTCAGAACCACCGTCCGCTCCCCACAGCCCTCTGCCCGCCCAGCCACTGGTACTGCCTTCATTTTCTCCAACTCTCGCAGCCTTTGCATTCCTGAAGCGTCGCCCTAACCTGCACTGCTGCTTTGGGGCTGGACCCCACCACAGCCCCCTACCTGGCCTCCCTCCAGGCCCTCCCGCCTCCTACCTCCTGGGCACACAGCCTCTCTCACAACACCGCCAGCCAACGTGTCGTCACCCGCTCCCAAACTTACAGGGGGTCCCTGTCGCCTACTGGGGTGAGAGCCATACTGCCCTTGACCTCACTGGAGGAGCGACGGACACAGAGGTTACACGATCTGACTGAGATGGAGGGAGAGAGCAGCCTTGGCACAGGGCAGGGAGGTATTTCCAATCAGTGCGCACAGGAAACACTGTTCAGCACAAAGTATCAGAAACAATCGACTCTACGTTTAGGAAACAACAGAGTTCATTTCTACCACGTAACGTCTGCAAAAACAAATCTAAGATGCATTAAAGATATAGAAGTGTTTTTTTTAAACTACAGAAGGGCTAGGAGAAAATACAGGTGGCAATGTTACATTCCTGGGACAGGGATGACACGCACCTCGGTGAAGCAGCCTGCGATCCCGGCCTGGCAGGAGCCGTGTTCCTCTCCATACTTCTTCTTGTACTCTGGGGGGGGAGAACAAACCACAGCCTGGTCAGTGTGGGCCCCCGTGGGCTGGTGGTGTGGGGCGGCCACGCGGGCCGCTTCCCCGAGTGCCCTGCGGCCTGGGCCCTGGCGACGCTGTCCAGCCTGGGGCACGGCGGGGAAGTCCCAGGAATCCGCCAGACCTCAAAAATCCGGACACCGGTGCCATCAGGTAGCGAGGCTGCCAAGTGCCCCAGAGGACTTCCTCCCTCTACACATGTGAGAAAGAGGAGCAGCGACCGTGGTAATGAAGGGGGAGGCGGGTGACAATTATTTCATTTGCTTTAGGAAGGACACAGAGCCCCAGCAGGAAGGAGGAGCTGAAAGCATGGCCCAGAAACTGGATGATGTCGCCCTCCCAGTGTGGAGTCCCTTGGAAGAAGACCAAGCCTCCGAAAGGACACTCCGTACAGCTGGAGGGATATGCTTTCCGCCACCCGCCCGGGGACCGGCCGTGAGAGCCCAGCTGCAGCAAGAGGGACTCGCACACCTGCCCCAGCGCACGGCCACGCCATCACCGATGGCGTCTGGTGACACTATACACAGCCACCTCCGTCTTCCTTGCTCCACAAAAGGAAATGGGGAGGATTTCTCCAGGTCTAAAGAAACCAAAGGGTGAGCTCATTCCTCCTCCACTCCCTCGGTCCCTAACACTTCACCCAGGGTTTTATTTTTAAGTTGGCAAGCAGAAGTGTTCAGCACGTTCCCGGCGCTGTGTCCACATCACTGCGTGCATCCCATATCCCCGGGAGCCCGTATCACCATTTACCTGTTAACAGGCAAAACTCCTGAGGCTCAGAGAGGTTAAGTGAACTGTCCAAGGTCACACAGCTAGTAAACGGCAAAACCAAAATTCTACCCCAAGCTTGGCAGACTCAAAAACCCCCATTCTTTCACCTGTGGGGCCTCTCCAAGGTTTAGCAGAGTGAGTGAATGCACAATAGTCAGGAAGCCACCAGCCATCTGACATCAGTACATGCGTAAAAGGCATGGAGATGGAGAGGTGGTCAGCTCAGGTGACTCCGATTAATTACACTGTGGCACTGACACTGCTGGGCACCGGCTCACGGCTGCCCCTGGGCACCTTTAGGCTGGGGCTACCCTGTAAAATAACCCAGAGACACACACCCCCATCACCCCCAGGGCTCTTGACAAATCTCTGGTACTGTTAAAAGCAATATACTTACTTCGGAAACTTTTATACTTAAGTACACAATATCCTTAAATCTGGAACAAAATAAATAATACAAAGGAACAAAGATTGCAACACAGTGCCACTTCCTGCAGCTCTGAGTGTCTGCCGGAGAAGGGGGAAAGGGCCCTGGGGATACGTCCAGAGTAATTCAGTTTCTAACAACACTCACCACAGAGCCTGGTAACGTTTTCCAGTAAGTGGCCATTAACCGGCTGCTAAATTACATCGGAATGTCAAGTGAGTTCGTAGTCTTCCCTGCAGGGGGCTGAAGGGGCTCTCCGCAGGTCCTGCGATTACAAGGCACACTGCACAGGCCTGCCCCACACAGCCCGTGGCGAGGGCAGCTTGCCTGTTCTCTGCACGATCTCGCACCAGGGCTGGGAGTGGGGCTTGTGCAAAGTCACAGATAGATCATGCATCAAATTGTAGGATGGCAAGAAACCATAAAAATTAATAATCATCCCTATACCATAAGGCGAAATGGTAACGGAGATCAGAATGTGCAAACCTGAACAGTTACATTAAATCTGGAAGGTCTGGAGAGGGCATATCCATTCACCCACTGACCGTAGGGGCTAACACCCAACTGTAACTCCCGAGCAAATAAAACAGGAAGGAAATGCAGACACCCCCAAGCTGAACGAAACTATATGGTAGGGCACCAGTTCAGCCTCAGAAATTTATGATGTGAACAGGAATTATGTGGGCATCCTTCACGTTTTAAAGAAGAGACATGTCTCGAGGTCTCTTGCGAGAGACGAAAAAATGGTAGGTAAGAAAACATCAGTGTCTCTCCGCCTCATCCCCAAACTCTAGGCCAGGAGCAGGATGCAGGGTTTCTGAGGTGGTCATAGTCATACTGGAGCTGGGAGCACCCCAATCCAGCCCCAGGCGAAAGGTCAGCAAAGTGAAGCCCTTTTACGTCACCCCTGCCTCAGCCAGCATCAGGGCACCAACCAGGCGCCGTCACAGCCAGCTGCTGGCTCCCCAAATGGGGACCTGCCTCATCAGAGGGCTGAGGGCCAGGGTCACACAGAGAGCAGCACCATCCCACTGGCTCTGATGTTTCCGAAACCCCAGGGGCTATAACTGACTCCTCAGGATGCTCTAAATCAAGGACTCGAACCACGTGGGGCTCCTGACTGGAACCCATCACTCTCAATTAGAGGACAGGCAATGTTCTGACCTCCCAGAATCCTGTGTGACTCGGATTAACCCCTTACCTTGGAACAGCACTCCCTCCCTCCCCCCACAAACTCGGGGAGGGGAGGGGTAGTTCTAGCAACTCTTAGTGTAGGAAGACTCAACTGATGTGGCCTCAGGAGAATATTCAGATCCAGTTCTCCAATCCCTGCCCATCCCCAGGCATGACCCTTCACTGACTGTCCTCAAAAACCCGAGAGGAACCCCTGAGCCACAAACGGGATGGCCCAGCCCCGGGGGACCAGGCCCATGAAGTTGCTGTGACTGAGTCCAAATCCATCCCTTCTTCTCAAAGACAGGCCCCTCTGAAGAAGTGATGTGAGTGGCTGTCACAGCTGTTCCTGAGCAATCACATCTTGAGAGGCAGCACCGCTGTCCCAAGCCCCAAGCTCCGTGCCCAGCCCAGTCTGATCCTTTGCAGTTAAAAAAAATAAATAAATGACATTGTGCCTGCCTGCTGGTTAGTCAGTAATCCCGAATAAGTGAGAAGCCATCTCAGAAAGCACTGTGTATAGGAACATAACCACACAACAGGCAAACTGACACCTCAGGGTGCCATGGTGATCTTTAGGGCTCAGGCCTGGGCTCTGGGCACCTTCCCAGGAGACAGTGGCCAGATCCACCAGGCACTGGACCACAGCACACATCAGTTGTTTTTACTCTTTTGAGTGCTATTTCTACCACTGTTATTTTAACCTGATCCTTTTTTAAATGACATAAAGAGGTCAGGTTGAGGTTTCTCCCTAATCCGCTTTCCAAATGTCCACATACAGGCCTGGGACCTGGGTGTGGCAGACCCACCTATGTGCCTTACCCATGGCCTGGAAAAGCTGGATTTTGCTTGCCTAGACCGCAGAAGGCGGAACTAGGAGAAGGGTGGTGGGCATGGAGATAAGGGGCTGCGCTGGCGCTGTATCCCCAGGAGACCCCCCCAGGTCACACCCCCTCCCTCTATTGAGAAGTGCAGGAAGTGCAGGGAGGAGGGACGGGGTGGGACCTTCAGTCTCCTGTGTTCCCAGGGAGAATTCTTCCTGCGCACACACAAAGGCTGTGGGCCCCGCAAAGGGCTGCTCCTGGGCACGTCCACTCAGCTTCCAAATGCCCAAGGACAGGGCCGCTTCGGAACAGAACATTTATCCATCTCGAAGCCACAAAGGAGAATCGGGCTTGGATGGCAGCAGCTCACAGCCGCTGTAGCAAATCTGAGACTGTTACATTGGGGGGAACTGGATCTGGGGAGCGAAAGATGTGGTTGAATGAGGGGGCCTGGAGGAGGCTTGGAGGAGCCAGGGACAGGTTGGAAGCTGCCTCCCGCGGCGGCTGGGTCTGAATTCCTGGGCCTGCACTGCACATTTTGATTCATAAAGTCGTATGGCTCCTCGTTCTAAAAATGGCAGTATTTTCCTCAGCTCAGCTGCTGGTTTCACTAAACTCTGTCTAAACAGAAGGCAATTCAGAGAGGAAAAAATACCAGTTTCCAAATGTTCACAATCCACAACTCAATGCTTGGAGCTTACACTAACGAATTTTAATTCGTTCAAGAATAAACGGGTGGAGTCGCCTCCTGCACCCTTCCCAGACGCTGGTGGGATAAAACCGACCCATGCAAAGATCGAGATTTATATACAGCGTAACATACATCCTTCCTACTAATCTATTAGATGTTTGTCTCTCTGTCCCTCTCCCTTCCTCTCTTCTCTGCAAGATCAATATAAGAGAGTATTTAAAAAAACACACACACACACACAAAATAAATGCTAGTCTTTTTAACACACCCATTTTTAATTTATCTTTCCATAGTTCCTTAGCTTAGCCATGAAATAAAATACCAGATTTTAAAAAATATCTTTCCAGTCTTACATTATTTCTGATTTTTCGCTCGATTTCAGAGTGAAAACTAAATAACTAATAATTAAACAACAATTTAAAAGACAGTGAAGTCGGGCAGATAGTTCTAGTCATCAAAAGGGCACCGAAACATACAAAAGTAAAGAAAGAAAATGACCTTCAGTTGTGAGGGACCACAGTCTAAATGGAAAAATAAAAAAAGATCTAAATAGCTAGGTTGGAGAGGAAGGGACAACATTTTATCAAAATAATTGACAATTAAGCTATGGTGAACATTAAATGCAAACTGCAATAAAGCTAGAAACTTACAATTAAGTGAGAAAAAGAGGCTTTAAGAGGGGAAATGATCTTTAGAGAATGTCTATAATTCTAATCCTAGCCGTTCATTTTACAGATAAATCACTATTGCTCAGAGACAGCAAGGGGTTGATTTAAAGCCACACAGCTAATTACCCTGAGTCGGGATTAAAGAGCAAGGCTCCTGACTGCCCATCTGCTGCGGCCATACCATGATGCTTCACAGAGCACATTTCCAGTGGTAATAGTCCTACCCTTTAAAAAAAAAAAAGTTTTCCATTGATGGATGAATGGATAAATACAATGTGGTATAGACATTCATTGGTGGCAGTGAGAATGGCACCAGGTGTTAGACCGCTGGGGTCAGACCAGACCTTGGTTTAGCAACCTCGGTACTTGAGTTCTGGCTGGGAAAGAATTCAGAGTCAGGACTCAAAC